CTTTCCCTGGCTCAGAGGAAAAGGTCCTAGGACTCTATCAGCAGTAGCAGCAACTCCCTGAGCCTCACCGCGTGCCAGGCACTGCTTACCAATACATCATCGAGTCCCACAGCACAGTTGGCACTGTCAGCACCCCATTTTATAGATCAGGAAACTGAGGGCAGAGTGGGAGCAACTTGCCCCAGTCCACACAGCCAGGGAGGGTGGCACCAGGATTCCAAGCACCGCGGGCTCCAGAGCACCTGCTCTAACCTCCCTGCGTGCATGTGACAACTTTTCTCCACCTCAAGCCTTCCCACCCAATTCCTCCCCCTCCTGTCAAGGAAACAATTTCCAGATTTCTAGAGAAAGCTGCTTCGGAAAGGGAAAACATCAGCTCTCCTATGGCGGGGAGGGGGCTGCTGTCTTGAGGAAAGGGCACAGAAAACCAAAGACCTCGGTTCCAGTCCTGGCTCTGCCACTGGGGGAAGCCGGCGACTCACTTCTCGCGCAAAACAAGCCTGTCACTCGGGAGTGCAGGAGTGATGATGGTAAGGGGAGGAAATTTCTCACGTTCACTGCCGGCCCGAAACAAATTCAAATGCCGTAAGGCGCTGGGCAGGTAGCGCACTGGGAATGGGTCGGAAGCAGAAGGGTGGCTGGGTCCAGCCAATGGGGACGAAGTGCCCGACCTGTCTCGTTCAGGGGCACTGTGGGATGGCTGATGGCGGCAGGCGGACAGAGCCGGGGTGCCCGGCCCTCGGCCCGCCGGCGCCCACAAAGGCCCGGCTCGCGCCTCCCGGGTCTTTGTCCCATACCCCGGCGCCGCATCCTCCCGAAGCCCGGTCCTCCCTCCCGCATCCTGCCGAGCCTCCGCCGCTCACCTCACCCAGGCCTCGGGGGTTCCGCGGGCCGCAGGCGGGAGGCTCCGGAACTGCCACGGCCGAACAGCAACTTCGGGTCGGGACTCCCCGGGGTGCTTGTCTGGGCCGACCTCAGCCCAGAACGCCGCTCACACCAGCGACAAACGCCCAGCTCCCTGTGCAGGTCTGGAGCTGGGTAGTGAGGTGGAGGCGGGTGAACTGTCGCTAACCCCTCTGGGAAATGTAGTCCACGCGAGAACCCAAGGGTTCTGGGAAGTGTAGTTCTCCGCGCTTGCTGCGTGGAGAGGCCCGGCTGAGTCTGTCACGGGCCCAGGTACTCATTCTGGGCTAGTGGCGGCGCTCGGTGAGTCGCCGGCTCCTGGGTTCCCGGTTCTTCCGAGGGGAAACGGAGATTCGCCGAGGACAGTGTATTGTAGCTCTGCATCTGCGTAAATGATAGTAAGGTAAGTAGACAACCTTCAAAAAACAAACCTATTTCCTCTTCAGTCTTTGAACAAGTATATTGAGCACCTGCTACGCGCCAAGCCCTATTGTAAAGGATTTGAAATACCTCAGTGAGCAAAACAGAGATCATTGCTCTGGAGAACTTTTTTGGGGGGTGGGGGTGGGGGAAGGAGGGAGGGAGCAGACAATAAGCCATGAACATAATTATATAGCATTTTAGAAAATAAGCATTATCGGAAAAAGCGAAAGGAAAGCAGGGTTGGAAGTGTCTGGGGTAGGTACGGGAGGCAAGTTGCAGCACGGAATAGGGTCACGAATACTGCTCTTTGTTAACATATTAGGAAACAATCTCGATAAGGTAGAATGAGTATCCTTCCATAAGTTCTTGTCCAGCTGTCTTGGCTATAATCAACTCATATGAATAATCATCATCGTGTCAACTTGTAAATTAAAATGCTGAGACTTTGACTGGATTCTTTGAATCCATAAATCAACCTGAGGAAAATTAATATCTAACAATATGGACTTTAACAATCCATTACCATGGTACAGCAATCCTTTTATTTAGGTCTCCATATATTTTCTCCATAGCAGTATTACATATTTTTGTGAGTTTTATTTGAGTATGTTTCATACTTTTTGAAGCTATTGTAAGTGGTATCTCTTTTTGAATTTCATTTGTAAAGTACCGATTTTGTGTATAGCTTACTGCCTGAAGTCTTATAAATTCCAATACTGAATTTATTGTGTGTTTTGGATTTTCTATGTAATATAATATGTGAATGACAGTTTTGTTTCTTTTGCAAAACTTTTGCTTCTTTTATATTTTCTTTCTTTTAATCGCCATATTGAGTGGGCTGTGATTTCTAGTACAATGTTAATATAAAGTCAAAGTAGAGGCACGTCAGCAAAATGGCTTAGCAGGGAACTCCAAGCCCACAGCCCCCCCTTGGAAACATAAAAAAACAACTAGAAACTGGCTAAAATAACCATATGAAAGCTCTGGAAAACAATAAAAGATCTACAGCAAAAAAAACCCCCAAAACTCAATCAAGGAAAAAACCACATATGAAATCATGGTAATACTGTGATGTTTTTACTTGCCCTTGCCCCATCCCTTCCTCAGTGTAGCAAAATCTTGGTCTGGAGTGGCCAAAGCTAAGTTCCCAATTCCCTTGCTCCAACAGAGAGGGAACAGAGGAGCTTTTATTTGTAAAGTTCTACCCTGTCCGAGGGCTGCCAGAAGTACTGGGCTCTATCTTGTCTATCTCGGAACTCAGATGGGGAGAAGCAGTAGGCACTGCTCCTAGAAGTTGTGGGTGGACTACAGTCCCACAGACACCTGGGGCAAGACATTGAGGGTAGAAACATAAGATAGACCATCTGAAACCCTGAGGAGAGGCTATGGTTAAGCTTTGGGAAATCAAGACATTTAAAAGCAGCTGAAAAACCAACATAAGGCCCAACGACAAAAGACCTAAGGAGCTCTTAAGTTTTCACCTCCATCTGATCCCTAGGCTGAGAACAAGCCAGCTAATTAGTAAAGGACTGCTCTAGCACAGAACCAGTCTGCAAAGACTAGGAAAGGTGACTAGTTTCTCGTTTTGTTCTGTTTTTTAAATAAAGACAAAAAAGTATTAAAGAGCAGTTTTAGGTTCACAGCAAAATTGAGAGGAAGGTATAGCGATTTCTCATTTATTCTCTACCCCAGCACATCATAGCCTCCCCCATTATCAACATCACTCACCACAGTGGCACATTTGTTACAATTGATGAACCTACACTGACATATCCCAGTTACCCAAAATCCATAGTTTAGGGCTCACTCTTGGTGTTGTACATTCTATAGGTTTGAAAAAATGTATAATGAATGACATGTCTGCCATTACAGGGTAGTTTCACTGCCTTAAATCCTCTGTGCTCTGCCTATTCATCCCTCCCTATTCCCTAACTGGCAACCACTGATATTTTTACTGTCTCCATAGTTTTGCCTTTTTCAGAATGTCATATAGCTGGTATCATACAGTATGCAGCCTTTTCATATTGGCTTCTTTCACTCTGTAATATGCATTTAAGTTTCCTCTGCGTCTTTTCATGGCTTGATAGCTCATTTCTTTTTAGAGTGGAATAATATTCTATTGTCTGAATGTACCACATTTTATTTATCTGTTCACCTACTGAAGGACATCTAGGTTGCTTCCAAGTTTGGGCAATTATGAATAAAGCTGCTATAAACAGCCATGTGCAAGTTTTTGTGTGGACATAGCTTTCAACTCTTTTGAGCATGACTTCTGAATCATATGATAAGAGTATGTTTAGTTTTGTAAGAAACTGCCAAACTCTTTTCCAAAGTGGCTGTACCATTTTGCATTCCCTTCAGCAAAGTGTGAGACTTCCTGTTGCTCCACATCCTCAACAGCATTTGTCAGTGTTCTGGATTTTGGCCCTTCTAATAGGCATGTAGAGGTATCTCATTG